ATTTTCATCATAGGTGCACGTCAACTATGACAGACAAAATGAGGGAAAACAAATCCAGAATATCACATTGTAAGATTTTTAATGAATTTATTTGCAAATTATGGTGGAAAATAAGTATTTGGTCAATAACAAACTTTCTCAATACTTTGTTATATACCCTTTGTTGGCAATGACACAGGTCAAACGTTTTCTGTAAGTCTTCACAAGGTTTTCACACACTTGCTGGTATTTTGGCCCATTCCTCCATGCAGATCTCCTCTAGAGCAGTGATGTTTTGGGGCTGTCGCTGGGCAACACGGACTTTCAACTCCCTCCAAAGATTTTATATGGGGTTGAGATTTGGAGACTGGCTAGGCCACTCCAGGACCTTGAAATGCTTCTTACGAAGCCACTCCTTCGTTGCCCGGGCGGTGTGTTTGGGATCATTGTCATGCTGAAAGACCCAGCCACATTTCATCTTCAATGCCCTTGCTGATGGAAGGAGGTTTTCACTCAAAATCTCACGATACATGGCCCCATTCATTCTTTCCTTTACACGGATCAGTCGTCCTGGTCCCTTTGCAGAAAAACAGCCCCAAAGCATGATGTTTCCACCCCCATGCTTCACAGTAGGTATGATGTTCTTTGGATGCAACTCAGCATTCTTTGTCCTCCAAACACGACGAGTTGAGTTTTTACCAAAAAGTTCTATTTTGGTTTCATCTGACCATATGACATTCTCCCAATCCTCTTCTGTATCATCCAAATGCACTCTAGCAAACTTCAGACGGGCCTGGACATGTACTGGCTTAAGCAGGGGGACACGTCTGGCACTGCAGGATTTGAGTCCCTGGCGGCGTAGTGTGTTACTGATGGTAGGCTTTGTTACTTTGGTCCCAGCTCTCTGCAGGTCATTCACTAGGTCCCCCCGTGTGGTTCTGGGATTTTTGCTCACCGTTCTTGTGATCATTTTGACCCCACAGGGTGAGATCTTGCGTGGAGCCCCAGATCGAGGGAGATTATCAGTGGTCTTGTATGTCTTCCATTTCCTAATAATTGCTCCCACAGTTGATTTCTTCAAACCAAGCTGCTTACCTATTGCAGATTCAGTCTTCCCAGCCTGGTGCAGGTCTACAATTTTGTTTCTGGTGTCCTTTGACAGCTCTTTGGTCTTGGCCATAGTGGAGTTTGGAGTGTGACTGTTTGAGGTTGTGGACAGGTGTCTTTTATACTGATAACAAGTTCAAACAGGTGCCATTAATACAGGTAACGAGTGGAGGACAGAGGAGCCTCTTAAAGAAGAAGTTACAGGTCTGTGAGAGCCAGAAATCTTGCTTGTTTGTAGGTGACCAAATACTTATTTTCCACCATAATTTGCTAATAAATTCATTAAAAATCCTACAATGTGATTTTCTGGTATTTTTTTCCTCAATTTGTCTGTCATAGTTGACGTGTACCTATGATGAAAATTACAGGCTTCTCTCATCTTTTTAAGTGGGAGAACTTGCACAATTGGTGGCTAACTAAATACATTTTTTCTCCACTGTACTACCCACCACGTTGACCTGTACGCTCTTGTTCGCTGGTCCTCACTACATATGTCGCCAAACCCACTGGCTCCAGGCCCTCTATAAATCAATGCTAGGCAAATCCCTGCCTTATCTTAGCTCATTGGTCACCATAGCAACACCCACCTGTAGTATGCGTTCCAGCAGGTATATCTCACTGGTCATCCCCAAAGCCAACACCTCCTTTGGCCGCCATTCCTTCCAGTTCTCTGCTGCCAATGACTGGAACGAACTGCAAAAATCTCTGAAGCTGGAGACACTTATCTCCCTCACTAACTTTAAGCATCAGTTGTCAGAGCACCTTACCGATCACTGCACCTGTACACAGCCCATCTGTAATTAGCCCACCCAACTACCTCATCCACATATTGTTATTTATTTTGCTCATTTGTACCCCAGTATCTCTATTTGCACATCATCTCTTGCACATCTATCATTCCAGTGTTAATAATTGTAATTATTTTGCACTATAGCCTATTTATTGCCTTACCTCCATAACTTACTACATTCGCACACACTGTATATATATTTTCTGTTGTATTTTTTTGACTTTATATTTTGTTTTACCCCATATATAACTCTGTGTTGTTGTTTTTAATCGCACTGCTTTGCTTTATCTTGGCCAGGTCGCAGTTGTAAATGAACTTGTTCTCAACTGGCTTCCTGGATAAATAAAGGGGAAATAAATAAATAAAATAAAAATTCTGTAGTGGTGAGGCAGCCAGCGGAAAATACGGAGCGTGGGGTTGGTAATGTTCTTTAGTTGCGCCGTGATTGGCTCAGTGTTGTCACTTATGGGGACACCACATCACCGCATAATCTACGGGGAGAGCTTGAAAATTCAAGCCCCTTGGGTACTGCCATAGAGTTACATTAGAAGTGCCCATTCAAGAAGGCTCAAGGTCATTACATCAAATCACGTTATATCTACCGTAGCTTTGATTGGACTGATCATGTCAACATCATACTTTCAAAATCTTAGCTAGCTGTCATCATCATGAATCAAGTCGACAATCTACTGCCAAATCCTTTTCAATCCTTGTCATTTGAAGACAAATTATGAAGAGTAATTCAAGATAAAATGTATCGTTGCTCATCGGCCATTGGACATAAACATTACACAACAAGTTGGAAATCGCAAGTACAACAATGAGTGGTTTGGAAGGAATCAGTGGCTAACTGCAAGCATTCCAAAGCAATCACTAGCCTGCTATTCAGTGGAGAGGGTGTGTGGTCCAAGTCTGTGTTTAAGCTTGGAAAGGAAACCCTTAAACCCAAACATTCAACATTGGCCATGCTGTCAATCCAGCATGACTTCTGCCGCGTTCAGAACAACTGGAACTGGGAAATCTCAGACTTCAGTGAGTTCTGGGAACTCTGACTGGGAAAAACGTTTTGAGCGGTCATCCAACTCGGAATTCCAAGTCGGGAACTCGTGCCTCTTTCTAGAGCTCTGACCTGAAGATCACTGACGTCATCATGATTCGATTGATTTTTTCAGAGTTCCCAGTTGTCTGGAAAGCACCATAAATCCAGGGAATGCCAGACTTTGATGACAATTTGCCCACGAAGGACCGCCGCGCCACCTTCCTGTTCAAGTGAGCACAGAACTAGGTGAGTCCAGAAATGTATTGTATTCTGCTGCATAAATGATGTAATATGCCAGGGAGATATGTATACTGTAGCTAAGAAAGTAATACTAAGTGTATGTTGTGTAGTAAGCTGTTAATAGCCCATGTGCCTCACCCTAATAATTTGGTCCCTTTCCCCCTCATAACTTAGCCTACTGTTCTGACTTGGTGGTGCACATGTAGCCTATAGCTTGTTTTAGAGAAATGTAATTGAATATTGTAAGAGCTTTCAATCTCTACACTGTAAGAACGGCCCATGTTCTGAATTGTCTCTGTACATTTCAAAAGTGCTGAACTAATAGTTATATTGACTACGTCCGTCCTAGCTCGCTCATGAATGTCTTCATCGAAATTACGGATTGCCTCTTATCCGCTCGTCGTCCCCTTATGCCATAGTTTGTACATCTCAATTGTCAGTAGAAACCACATTTGTTTAAGCAAGTCAGCCATATCAGTTGGTTTTTAAAAGGCAGTAAATGAGGCTGAATGAAGTGTTTCGCTGCCAGATGCCAGGTGTAGCAGTGGTAAGGTGTTGGGACTCTGCTGTTTGGACAGTGTTATGTAACTAACAGTTTATGGGACTGATGTCATCAAGGCAAAGGGTGGCTATTTGAAGAATCTTAAATATATTTTGATTTGTTTAACACTTTTTTGGTTATTACATTATTCCATGTGTTATTTCATAGTTTTGATGTCTTCACTATTATTCTACAATGTAAAAAAAAAAAAAAAAATAAAGAAAAACCCTTGAATGAGTAGGTGTGTCTAAACTATTGACTGGTAGTGTATATCTCTCTCATTGGTTAGGACAGGTCTGTCTGTATGAAAGGGTTAGGACAGGTCTGTCTGTATGAAAGGGTTAGGACAGGTCTATCTGTTTGGGCTCCCGAGTGGCGCAGCGGTCTAAGGCACTGCATCTCAGTGCTTGAGGCGTCACTACAGACCCCCTTGTTCGTAACTGACTTGACTAGTTAAATAAAATTAAAATGAATGGACCCAGTGGAGAGTTCTCTTCATCTTGACCAAACATTGGTCAAGACTGTGCGCTAATGTGTTTAGATAAGGAAAACAACTTGTAGGTACCATTCTATTGTATAACGGGGTGGAAAGTCATCCAGATTCTCTCTCCGGTGTGTGTGTGGGACCCTCTTAACCAAGTGCAGCACCTAGCTTCTATTAAATATATACTTTAGTGTCCTTAGACCCAGAGTGTGGAGTTCCTTCCATCTCCTAACAGTACAGATCTTTTAATATCTCTGGCTGGCTCCCTAAAACACAGGACACCAGTCACATGGGGCATTCTAATATTTAATACATTCATTTCAAAAGGAAAACAACTTAACAAAACAAAGAACCAGACACAGCTCATATTGCTAGTGGCTGAATAACTACTGTACCTTATTAACTGTACTGAAATCCTGCTTCCTGATTGGATGAACAGTCCTACGGTACTAGAGATCTGGGGACAGCAGCTGCAGAACCACCGTTGGCCCAGTAGGGGAGTTCTTATAGCGTGACCATAGAGATAGAGGACTCTTCTCTGCCATTATACCGTCTGTGACAGCACAGGCAGTGCTGTTGAGGCCATCTCCATTTTAAATAAGTACCATTTCTCCCCACTCAGTTGACTACTTTAAAATGGTGGAAGCCCTCAATGGCAATGTCCATGCTAAAATGGGTTTTATCCATGAGGAGTCCTCTATCTCTATGAGTGTGACAAACAGGAAGGGCCCAGTGGGGGAGCTCTTACAGTGTGACACACAGGAAGGGCCCAGTGGGGGAGCTCTTACAGTGTGACACACAGGAAGGCAGGGTGTCTTCCTCATGGAGTCTTCTCAGCCAGGGCAGCCTCCTCTTTCTCCATCTTCGCCTCCTGCCTCCATCTTGCCTTCTTCTCCATGTTCTGACTTGTTAGCGACTCATGTCTGCCGGCAGCCTGGGGAACACACGCGATTGGTCAGTCGATCTTTCTCACACACACAAACACAAACACACCTGGGGCAGCGAAACGATTGGCGGGATTCAATCCCAGGCGCATTACAGCGCAGCGCGCTGGACAGCAGACGTCATTTATGCTTGAGCCGACATGCGCAGCGTTTTCCTGTGAATGATCTCCTGCTTTTAAAAGGCTGTTGGCTGTCCAGTGTATTTCTAATTTTTTTTTAAAATTATGGATCCCCATTAGTAAAATTAAAGGCAATTACACATTTTAAAAACATTACAATACATTCATAACAGATTTCACAACATATTAAGTGTGTGCCCTCAGGCCTCTACTCTACTACCACATATCTATAACACAACATCCATGTGTACATGTATTGCGTATGTTATCGTGTGTGTGTGTCTGTTTGTGTTGCTTCACAGTCCCCGCTGTTCCGTAATGTGTATTTTTTAAATCCAATTTTACTTCTTGCAGGAGTTACTTGATGTGGAATAGAGTTCCATGTAGTCATGGCTCTATGTAGTACTGTGTGCCTCCCATAGTCTGTTCTGGACTTGGGGACTGTGAAGAGACCTCTGGTGGCATGTCTTTTGGGTAATGCATGGGTGTCGGTTCATTCAACATGTCAATATCTCTCACAAATACAAGTAGTGAGAAAGTCTCCCTCTCCTCCACTTTGAGCCAGGAGAGATTGACATGCATATTATTAATGTTAGCTCTCTGTGTACATCCAAGGGCCAGCCGTGCTGCCCTGTTCTGAGCCAATTGCAATTTTCCTAAGTCCCTCTTTGTGGCACCTGACCACATGACTGTACAGTAGTCCAGCTGGGACAAAACTAGGGCCTGCCTTGTTGATAGTGTTGTTAAGACTGCCAAGCTGCGCTTTATTATGGACAGACTTCTCCCCATCTTAGCTACTGTTGTATCAACATGTTTTGACCATGACAGTTTACAATCCAGGGTTCCTCCAAGCAGTTTAGTCTCCTCAACTTGCTCAATTTCCACATTATTTATTACAAGATTTAGTTGAGGTTTAGTGTTGAGTGAATGATTTGTACCAAATACAATGCTTTTAGTTTTTGAAATGTTTAGGACTAACTTATTCATTGCCACCCATTCTGAAACTAACTGCAGCTCTTTGTTAAGTGTTGCAGTCATTTCAGTTGCTGTAGTAGCTGACGTGTATAGTGTTGCGTCAGTCGCATACATAGAAACACTGGCTTTACTCAAGTGGCGCAGTGGTCTAAGGCTGTGCCACTAGAGATCCTGGTTTGAATCCAGGCTCTGTCGTAGCCGGCCGCGACCGGGAGACCCATGGGGCGGCGCACAATTGGCCCAGCGTCGTCCAGGGTAGGGGAGGGAATGGCCGGCAGGGATGTAGCTCAGTTGGTAGAGCATGGCGTTTGCAACGCCAGGGTTGTGGGTTCGATTGCCACGGGGGGCCAGTATGAAAAATAAAAAAATAATATATGCACTCACTAACTGTAAGTCGCTCTGAATAAGAGCGTCTGCTAAATGACTAAAATGTAGTAAAGATTGAAAAAAGTAAGGGGCCTAGACAGCTGCCCTGGGGAATTCCTGATTCTACCTGGTTTATGTTGGAGAGGCTTTCATTAAAGAACACCCTCTGTGTTCTGTTAGACAGGTAACTCTTTATCCACATTATAGCAGGGGGTGTAAAGCCATAACACATACTTTTTTCCAGCAGCAGACTATGATCGATAATGTCAAAAGCTGCACTGAAGTCTAACAAAACAGCCCCCACAATGTTTTTATCATCAATTTCTCTCAGCCAATCATCAGTCATTTGTGTAAGTGCTGTGCTTGTTGAATGTCCTTCCCTATAAGCATGCTGAAAGTTTGTCGTCAATTTGATTACTGTAAAATAGCATTGTATCTGGTCAAACACAATTTTTTCCAAATGTTTACTAAGAGTTGGTAACAGGCTGATTGGTCGGCTATTTGAGCCAGTAAACGGGGCTTTAATAATATTCTTAGGTAGCGGAATGACTTTTGCTTCCCTCCAAGCCTGGGGGCACACACTTTCTAGTAGGCTTACATTGAAGATATGGTAAATTGGAGTGGCAATATCGTCTGCTATTATCCTCAGTAATTTTCCATCCACGTTGTCAGATCCCAGTGGCTTGTCATTGTTGATAGACAACAATTTGTTCACCTATTCCACACTCACTTTACGGAACTCAAAATTACAATGCTTGTCTTTCATAATTTGATCAGATATATTTGGATGTGTAGTGTCACTGTTTGTTGCTGGCATGTCATGCCTAAATTTGCTAATCTTGTCAATGAAAAAAATCATTAAAGAAGTTGGCAATATCAGTTGGTTTTGTGATGAAGAGCCATCTGATTCAATGAATGATGGAGTGGAGTTTGCCTTCTTACCCAAAATTTCATTTAAGGTGCTCAAAGCTTTTTACTATCATTCTTTATGTCATTTATCTTGGTTTCATAGTGTAGTTTCTTCTTTTTATTCAGTTTAGTCACATGATTTCTCAATTTGCAGTACAGTTGTAGAACACGTCTTGGATTGAATCCCGGGCTATATGTGTGGTGGGACTTCCTATGGGTTAAGGAAGGATCACATGATTCCATCCAGGTCATCAGGAGGGATCAGCCAATTAATTATACTGCTTGCAAACATTCCATAACTCCAGGGGGCAGTAAATCACCAACCTTGGCTTTATACCAGTTCAGACAACACCCTCCAGGGGGCAGTAAATCACCAACCTTGGCTTTATACCAGTTCAGACAACACCCTCCAGGTGGCAGTCTGCACCCTTTCAGTTTGTTTACCAACTCATAGAAGTAGTAGAAGAAAAAATTGACTACTTCAAAATAGAGCACTGCCTGTGCTCTCACAGACCCCATAATGGGACAGATATAACATTACATCAGTGTCCCCCTCACCCTCTTCTATAGGATGACGGTGAACAGACAGGCTGCAATGATACTCACCCTCTTCCCCAGGATGACAGTGAACAGACAGGCTGCGATGGTGGCAATCATCATCCCGTAACACGCTTTCACTCTCACCTTGTTCCTGGCTGCATCTAGCATCTCAAACCTGCAACACACACAATATAGACATGGTGACAGAGTTCATCAGGAAGTGTAGAGGGGATGTTGTTCCCACTGTGACTTAAAACCTACCCAAACCAAAAACCGTGGATAGATGACAGCATTTGCTCAAAACTGAAAAGCGCGAACCACCACATTTAACCACCGCGACTAGAAATATGGTTGAATACAAACAGTGCAGTCATAAGGTAAGGTAACGTAAGGCAATTAAACAGGCAAAACTTCAGTACAGAGACAAAGTGGAGTCACAATTCAACGGCTCAGAAACCTGCCACGTCGCGGAAACCGACGTCTTGCTCCCGGACAAGCTAAACACCTTCTTCGCCCGCTTTGAGGATAAGACAGTGCCACCGACTCGGCCCGCTCCCAAGGACTGTGGGCTCTCGTTCTCTGACGTGAGTAAGACATTTAAGCGTGTTAACCCTCACGAGGCTGCCGGTCTAGACGGTATCCCTAGCCGCGTCCTCAGAGCATGGGGAGACCAACTGGCTGGAGTCTTTACAGACATATTCAATCTCTCCCTATCCCAGTCTGCTGTAGACACTTGCTTAAAGATGGCCACCATTGTTCCTGTACCCAAGAAAGCAAAGGTAACTGAACTAAATGTCTAAATCGCCCCATAGCACTCACTTCTGTCATCATGAGGTGCTTTGACAGGCTAGTTAAGGATCATATCACCTCTACCTTACCTGTCACCCTAGACCCACTTCAATTTGCATACCGCCCCAAAAGATCCACAGACGATGCAATCACCATCACACTGCACAATCCCATCTGGACAAGATGAATACCTATGTAAGAATGCTGTTCATTGACTATAGCTTAGCATTCAACACCACATTACCTTCCAAGCTCATCACTAAGCTCAGGGCCCTGGGTCTGAACCCCGCCCTGTGCAACTGGATCCTGGACTTCCTGACGGGCCGCCCCCAGGTGGTGAAGGTAGGAAACAACACCTCCACTTCGCTGATCCTCAACACTGGGGCCCTACAAGGGTGCGTGCTCAGCCCCCTCCTGTACTCCCTGTTCAACCATGACTGCGTGGCCAAGCACGCCTCCAACTCAATCATCAAGTTTGCAGACGACACAACAATAGTAGGTCCTCTGTAGCTCAGCTGGTAGAGCACGGCGCTTGTAACGCCAAGGTAGTGGGTTCGATCCCCGGGACCACCCATACACAAAAAAAAAAAAAAAAATGTATGCACGCATGACTGTAAGTCGCTTTGGATAAAAGCGTCTGCTAAATGGCATATTATTATTATTATTATTATATTATAGTAGGACTGATTACCAACAATGATGAGACCGCCTACAGGGAGGAGGCGAAGGCCCTGGCAGAGTGGTGCCAGGCAAATAACTCAACGTGATCAAGACAAAGGAGATGATCGTGGACTTCAGGAATCAGAAGAGGGTGCACCCCCCCTATCCACATCGACGGGACCGCAGTGGAGAAGGTGGAAAGCTTCAAGTTCCTCGGCGTACACATCACTAATGATGTGAAATGGTCCACCCACACAGACAGTGTGGTGAAGAAGGCGCAACAGAGCCTCTTCAACCTCAGGAGGCTGAAGAAATTTGGCTTGGCCCGTAAGACCCTCAAACTTTTCCAGATGCACAATTGAGAGCATCCTGTCGGGCTGTATCACCGCCTGGTACGGCAACTGCACCGCCCGCAACTGCAGGGCTCTCCAGAGGGTGGTACGGTCTGCCGAACGCATTACCGGGGGCAAACTACCCGCCCTCCAAGACACCTACAGCACCCGATTTCACAGGAAGGCCCAAAAGATCATCAAGGACATCAACCACCCGAGCCACTGCCTGTTCACCCCGCTATCATCCAGAAGGCAAGGTCAGTACAGGTGCATCAAAGCTGAAAAACAGCTTCTATCTCAAGGTCATCAGACTGTTAAATAGCCATCACTAGCCAACTACCACCCGGTTACATCTCAAGGTCATCAGACTGTTAAATAGTCATCACTAGCCGGCTATCACCCGGTTACTCAACCCTGCACCTTAGAGGCTGCTGCCCTATATACACAGACATGGAATCACTGGCCACTTTAATGTTTACATACCGTTTTACTCATTTCATATGTACATACTGTATTCTAAGTCAATGCCACTCAGACATTGCTCGTCCTAATATTTATACATTTCTTAATTCCATTCTTTTACTTTTAGATTTGTGTATTGTTTGATATTACTGCACTGTTAGAGCTATGAACACAAGCATTTCGCTACACCCACAATAACATCTGCTAAATTTGTGTATGTGACCAATAAAATTTGATTTCATTTATATACAAAAGTATGTGGACACCGCTTCAAATTAGTGGCTTCAGCTATTTCAGCCACACCAGTTGCTGACAGGTGTATAAAATCGAGCACACAGCCATGCAATCTCCATAGACAAACATTGGCCTTACGGAAGAGCTCAGTGACTTTTAACGTGGCACAGTCATAGGATGCCACCTTTCCAACAAGTCAGTTCGTCACATTTCTGCCCTTCTAGAGCTGCCCCGGTCAACTGTAAGTGCTGTTATTGTGAAGTGGAAATGTCTAGGAGCAACAGCGGCTCAGCCGTGAAGTGGTAGGCCACACAAGCTGACAGAACGGGACCGCTGAAGTGCGTAGCGCGTCTGTCCTCGGTTGCAACACTCAATACAGAGTTCCAAACTGCCTCTGGAAGCAACGGCAGCACAAAAACGGTTCGTTGGGAGCTTCATGAAATGGGTTTCCATAGCTGAGCAGCCGCACACAAGCTTGACTGACCTGCACAGAGCCCTAACCTCAACCCCATAGGGATAAATTGGAACGCCGACTGCGAGCCAGGCCTAATCACCTAACATCAGTGCCAGACCTCACTAATGCTCGTGGCTGAATGGAAGCAAGTCCCTGCAGCAATGTTCCAACATCTAGTGGAAAGCCTTCCCAGAAGAGTGGAGGCTGTTATAGCAGCAAAGTGGGGGACCAATTCCATATTAATGCCCATGATTTTGGACTGAGATGTTCGACGAGCAGGTGTCCACATACTTTTGGTGTAGCATCTCAAACAGGCAACACACACAACATAGCATCTCAAACTGGCAACACACACAACATAGCATCTCAAACAGGCAACATATCATAATCAGGCAGAACATTTCAAAACTCCAGACGCGTTTTCCTGATGGAGTGACCATGTCAAAGAGGGACCCTAGTGGGGTGATTGGGTGTATAGGACCAGAGGCAGAGAGGGGTGTGGATAGGACCAGAGGCAGAGAGGGGTGTGTACAGGACCAGAGGCAGAGAGGGGTGTGTATAGGACCAGAGGCAGAGAGGGGTGTGTGTACAGGACCAGAGGCAGAGAGGGGTGTGTGTACAGGACCAGAGGCAGAGAGGGGTGTGTGTACAGGACCAGAGGCAGAGAGGGGTGTGTATAGGACCAGAGAAGGAGAGGGGTGTGTACAGGACCAGAGGCAGAGAGGGGTGTGTACAGGACCAGAGGCAGAGAGGGGTGTGTACAGGACCAGAGGCAGAGAGGGGTGTGTACAGGACCAGAGGCAGAGAGGGGTGTGTATAGGACCAGAGGCAGAGAGGGGTGTGTATAGGACCAGAGGCAGAGAGGGGTGTGGATAGGACCAGAGGCAGAGAGGGGTGTGGATAGGACCAGAGGCAGAGAGGGGTGTGGATAGGACCAGAGGCAGAGAGGGGTGTGGATAGGACCAGAGGCAGAGAGGGGTGTGGATAGGACCAGAGGCAGAGAGGGGTGTGTACAGGACCAGAGGCAGAGAGGGGTGTGGATAGGACCAGAGGCAGAGAGGGGTGTGTACAGGACCAGAGGCAGAGAGGGGTGTGTATAGGACCAGAGGCAGAGAGGGGTGTGGATAGGACCAGAGGCAGAGAGGGGTGTGGATAGGACCAGAGGCAGAGAGGGGTGTGTACAGGACCAGAGGCAAGAGGGGTGTGTACAGGACCAGAGGCAGAGAGGGGTGTGTACAGGACCAGAGGCAGAGAGGGGTGTGTACAGGACCAGAGGCAGAGAGGGGTGTGTATAGGACCAGAGGCAGAGAGGGGTGTGTATAGGACCAGAGGCAGAGAGGGGGTGTGTATAGGACCAGAGGCAGAGGGGGTGTGTATAGGACCAGAGCAGAGAGGGGTGTGTATCAGGACCAGAGGCAGAGAGGGGTGTGTACAGGACCAGAGGCAGAGAGGGTGTGGTACAGGACCAGAGGCAGAGAGGGGTGTGTATAGGACCAGAGGCAGAGAGGGGTGTGTACATGGACCAGAGGCAGAGAGGGGTGTGGAAGGACCAGAGGCAAGAGGGGGTGTGTTATAGGACCAGAGGCAGAGAGGGTGTGTACAGGACCAGAGGCAGAGAGGGGGTGGGGATAAGGACCAGAGCAGAGAGGGGTGTGTAAAGGACCAGAGGCAGAGAGGGGTGTGTACAGGACCAGAGGCAGAGAGGGGTGTGTACAGGACCAGAGGCAGAGAGGGGTGTTGTACAGGACCAGAGGCAGAGGAGGGTGTGTACAGGACCAGAGGCAGAAGGGGGTGTGTACAGGACCAGAGGCAGAGAGGGTGTGTATAGGACCAGAGGCAGAGAGGGGTGTGTACAGGACAGAGGCAGTAGAGGGGTGTGTATAGGACCAAGCGATAGCGAGAGGTTGTGTATAAGACCAGAGGCATAGAGGTGTGTTGTACAGGACCCAGAGGCAGAGAGGGGTGTGTTATAGGACCCAGAGGCAGAGATAGGGGTGTGTACAGGACCATGAGGCAGAGATGGGTGTGCACAGGACCAGAGGCATAGAGGGGTGTGTACAGGACCAGAGGCAGAGAGAGGTGTGTGTGGGGGTGTGGGGGGGGGGGGGTGTTTGTACGTGACAGTGTGCAGATCATTTCGCAGATGTCAGGAACCCAAACCACAGCAATTACCTCAAACAACCTGCTACAGACACAGACCTCAAAAATAACCTGCTACAGACACAGACCTCAAAAATAACCTGCTACAGACACAGACCTCAAACATAACCTGCTACAGACACAGACCTGAAAGAGAGAGACAAAGCGGAACAGAGGCAAATAGACCTCATTTGAACTACAGTGTTAAGACCCAATCAGGGGCGGGTGTGTTGGGAGGTCTGGTTGTAAACAGGAAGTGTCCACTTACGACACTAGCTCTGGGATCTGGTCGGGGGTCTTGAAGCGTCCAGACCAGACTAGGATCCTCTGGTCCATGGGAGAGGGCCTGTAGCCGGGGAGTTTAAAGGCTGGACGGGGAGCTGGGCACAAAGGAGACACAACAATCAATGCACATAGACGAGGTCACGAAAACCATTCTCGTGACTCAAATGGGGGAGAAGTCCACGTATTGTGATTCTGGATGGCCAGATAGCTAGCAATAATAGAAAGAAACTGCCATGTGGGGAATCTAGGTGGCTCGTTTCAGCTAGTTTTATCTTGTTCTTGATACCATGTCATGTTTTGAGGTGTTTTGACTGATGTCTATGCTAATATGGCTCAAATTAGCTAGCTGTCCAACAACCTTAATGATGCATGAGAGACAACAAGTGCTCATTGTGCAAATGTATTTATGTTTCAATAAACATTGGAGAAGAAATTTAGTTTACGTGCTGTCAACAATCTATGCTAACCCCGTCTGTTTTGCCCCATAGTTGTGCACGTGTCGGTTTTGTTGCTGAACAACCAACCCGTCTATAGCAGCAGTTCGGTTGTTCATCATGAATTCAGCATAGCAAGTTTGTATGAAGGTCTGGTTATTAAATGGGTAAATAGTTGAATCCATTCTCCGGAAACCTTGTCCGAACCAGAACGGCCCATAGCCTCCTGTCCCATCTCCTGTTTCTGTAGTGAGGCAGCTGGATGTACTGTTCAGTATCCCTCCTGGACAGGAATATCGTTTATTGTATAGAGACTGTTAATTCCACATTCCTGACCCAAGACTCAGATTTAGGAATCTTTTAAATTTCACACGCTCCGGCCGTTAGCGTCGACCTCCATGGGTGACATCCCTTCCTGCTCATCCTCAGGAGAGTGAACTTTCCCCCAGTTTCTATGGCAACTAAATATCAGGCACCCTGTGGCTAAGACTAGACTGAGATCAGATGATTAATGAGATATTATTACTGAGATTAGACTGAAGCGTTGGCTCAGTGGTTTACTAACAGATACCTACAGTACAAAGCTGATGTTGCCATGACTACCTGTGCTATCTTTTGGATCAGTTTGAAGGAACCTCTTACACCACATAAGTATTTGTTTTGTACTGTGGGTCCACTGGGAACAAAAATACTCTCTGGAATGACTTCCTGACTGAGCACATAGTGACATGGATTAGACCGGGTCGGAGTCTGGAGAACATGGATTAGACCGGGTCGGAGTCTGGAGAACATGGATTAGACAGGGTCGGAGTCTGGAGACATGGATTAGACAGGGTCGGAGTCTGGAGAACAGACAGACAGACAGACAGGGTCAGGGGCTGGAGGACAGACAGACGGACAGACAGGGTCAGGGGCTGGAGAACAGACAGACAGACAGACAGACAGGGTCGGAGTCTGGAGAACAGACAGACAGACAGGGTCAGGGGCTGGAGAACAGGATTGGACAGGGTCAGGATAATTAAATCAGCTTAACTCATCCGTCACCAGGGAATCAGGTGTGTGTTTGTGTTCCTACCATGTGCTGGGACTGCAGGTGCTGCGGGCGGAGGCTCTGGGTTTCCTGTCTGAGGTTTACTGCACATCCACCTCTGTCCCCCCAGCTCAGCAAGAGCTCTGCTCCGACCCACCATCTGTCCCACCTGTCTGTACCATTGACCTGTGAGAGAGAACACCACATCAGTCAGTCAGACCTTTAACCGCCACAGAAAGAGCGCAGCATTGGCTTCAATGAGAACAGTCTAAGCCTCCAGAGTGGCGCAGCGGTCTAAGACACTGTATCGCAGTGCTTGAGGCGTCACTACAGACCCGGGTTTGATCCCAGAATGTGTCACAACCGGGAGTCCCATATGGCGGCGCACAATTGGCCCAGTGTCGTCTGGGTTAGGGGAGGGTTTGGCCGGGGGGGCTTTCCTTGGCTCATCGCGCTCTAGCGACTCCTTGTGGCAGGCCAGGCGCTTGCAGGCTGACTTCGGTCGTCAGTTGAACAGTGTTTCCTCCGACACGTCGGTGCAGCTGGCTTCCGGGTTAAGCGGGCGGGTGTTAAGAAGCATGGTTTGGCGGATCATGTTTCGGAGGACGCATGACTCGACTTTAGCCTCTCCAGAAACCGTTGGGGAGTTGCAGCGATGAGACAAGATCGTAATTGGATCACAATTGGATATCACGAAATTGGGGAGAAAAGGCGGTAAAACACAACAAAGAAAATACCATGCTATGAGCTGAACACTGGCTCACACAACGACCACGCCTGATTACATTTTACTTTATGACTTTACTTTGTGATATCCATATTGGTAGTTACAATCTTGTTTCATCGCTGCAACTCCCCTATGGAGTCGGGAGAGGCGAAGGTTGAGAGCTACGCGTCCTCCGAAACACCACCCTGCCAAGCCGCACTGCTCGCTTAACCCAGAAGCGCACTGCTCGCTTAACCCAGAAGCACCAATGTGTCGGAGGAAACACTGTTGAACTGACGACCAAAATCAGCCTGCAGGCACCCAGCCCGCCACAAGGAGTCACTAGAGCATGATGAGACAAGGACATCCCAGCCGGCCCTCTACTTACCACGGACGACGATGTGCCAATTGTGCACCACCACATGGGTCTCCTGGTCACGGCAGGCTGTGACACAGCCTGGGATCGAACCAGAGGGTGTAGTGGTGCCTTAGACCGCTGCGGCACTCGGGAGGCCCTGATTACATATTTAAACATTTCAAAATCAGGTATATGCTAAACAACCATTTTCAGGTCTTGCCATACATTTTCAAGTAGATTTAAGTTAGGGCTGTCCGACTAAAAACAATCTTGGTCAACCGAGAGTAGTCTGTTCTTTCGACCAATCAACATTTGAAAAGGTGTATTTTTCCATATATAGACAAACCCTACACGGGTTTTAAAAAAGATCTACTATACGCACTGAGCTTGTCTGATGCTTTAACCCATTCAAACTATTGTAATGGTTTAACAACAAATTCTCTCTCGCTCTCTACACTTCACTGCTTATATAAAGGAATAATGGACGGTTGAAATAAGGGTGAAGAGCTATATTAAGTTTCCACATTTTGTTGTGAAACAGCCTAAATAAAAAATTGATTGTGTCACTGGCCTACACCAAGTACCCCATATTGTCAAAGTGGAATAGGGCTGTCCAAAAAAAATTGGCCAACCGAAAGTATGTTCTTTCGACCAATCGATTGCGTAACTAGGTGTGCGTCCTTACTCAAATGTATTTTTTAAAGCCCTTTTTACATCAGCAGATGTCACAAAGTGCTATACAGAAACCCAGCCTAAAACCCCAAACAGCAAGCAATGCAGATGTAGAAGCACGGTGGCTAGGAAAAACTCCCTAGAAAGGCAGGAACCTAGGAAGAAACCTAGAGAGGAACCAGGCTCTGAGGGGTGGCCAGTCCTCTTCTGGCTGTGCTGGGTGGAGATTATAACAGTACATGTCCATTAAGGCCAGATTTTTCTCCAAGACGTTCAAACATTCATAGATGACCAAATAATAATCAGTGTGCCTTTCTGTTCACCTTCGCACCCCTGGGCCAGAACACAGTCGACCATGGAACCTACAGTAAAGACTTAAAGGTCGAGACAGAGTCTGCGTCTCTCACATAGATAGGCAGACCAATCCATAAAAATGGAGCTCTATAGGAGAAAGCCCTGCCGCCAGCTGTTTGCTTAGAAGTTCTAGGGACAATAAGGAGGCCTGCGTCTTGTGACCGTAGCGTACGTGTAGGTACAGTTGAAGTCGGAAGTTTACATACACCTTTGCCAAATACATTTAAACTCAGGTTTTCACAATGTGACTTTTAATCCTAGTAAAGATTCCCTGTCTTAGGTCAGTTAGCATCACCACTTTATTTTAAGAATGTGAAACATCAGAATAATCGTAGAAAGAATGATTTATTTCAGCTTTTATTCATTTCATCACATTCCCAGTGGGTCAGAAGTTTACATACACTCAATTAGTATTTGGTAGCATTGCCTTTAAATTGTTTAACTTGTAATACCAACATGTTTCAAGCAGACCACCATAGTCCCCATGCCCAAGAACACTAAGGTAACCTGCTTAAATGACTACCGACCCGTAGCACTGACGTCTGTAGCCATGAAGTGCTTTGAAAGGCTGGTCATGGCTCACATCAACACCATCATCCCAGAAACCCTAGACCCCTCCAATTTAAATATCGCCCCAACAGATCCACAGATGATGCAATCTCTATTGCACTCCACACTGCCCTTTCCCACCTGGACAAGAGGAACAACTATGTGAGAATGCTATTCATTGACTACAGCTCAGCGTTCAACACCATAGTGCCCTCAAAGCTCATCACTAAGCTAAGGACCCTGGGAGTAAACACTTCCCTCTGCAACTGGATCCTGGGCTTCCTGACGGGCCGCCCCCAGGTGGTAAGGGTAGGTAACAACACATCTGCCATGCTAATCCTCAAAAGGGGGCCCCTCAGGGGTGCGTGCTCAGTCCCCTCCTGTACTCCCTGTTCACCCATGACTGCATGGCCAGGCACGACTCCAACACCATCATTAAGTTTGCCGATGACGCAACAGTGGTAGGCCTGAATACCGACAACGATGAGACAGCCTATAGGGAGGAGGTCAGAGACCTGGCCGTGTGATACCAGGATAACAACCTCTCCCTCAATGTGACCATGACAAAGGAGCTGATTGTGGACTACAGAAAAATAAAAAAATTAAATAAAAAAAGTAGGGCCGAGCACTACAGCCCCCATTCTCATCGACGGGGCTGTAGTGGAACAGGTTGAGAGCTTCAAGTTCCTTGGTGTTCACATCACCAACAAACTATCATGGTCCAAACACACCAAGACAGTCGTGAAGAGGGCATAACAAAACCTATTCCCCATCAGGAGACTGAAAAGATTTGGCATGGGTCCTCAGATCCTCAAAAAGTTATACAAATGCACCATCGAGAGCATCCTGACTGGTTGCATCACCGCCTGGTATGGCAACTGCTCGGCCTCCGACCGCAAGGCACTACAGAGGGTAGTGCGTACGGCCCAGTACATCACTGGGGCCAAGCTTCCTGCCATCCAGGACCTCTATACCAGGCGGTGTCAGAGGAAGGCTCTAAACATTGTCAGACTCGAGCCACCCTAGTCATAGACTGTTCTCTCTGCTACCACACGGCAAGCGGTACCGGAGCGCCAAGTCTAGGTCCAAAAGGCTTCTTAACAGCTTCTACCCCCAAGCCATAAGACTCCTGAACAGCTAATCATGGCTACCCAGACTATTTGCATTGTCCACCCCACCCCCTCTTTTTACACTGCTGCTACTCTGTTTATTATCTATGCATAGTCACTTTAACTCTACCCACATGTACATATTACCGAAATTATCTCGACTAACCGGTGCCCCAGCACATTGACTGTACCGGTACCCCCTGTATATAGCCTCCCTACTGTTATTTTATTGCTGCTATTTAATCTTATCTATTTTTTACTTAACACTTTTCTTAAAACTGCATTGTTGGTTAAGAGTTTGTAAGTAAGCATTTCACTAAGGTCTACACCTGTTGTATTCGGCGCATGTGGTAAAGACAATTTGATTTGAGTGGCCTAGTTACCGTTTTGACTTAAATCTGCTTGGAAATCTATGGCAAGACCTAAAAATGGTTGTCTAGCAATGATCCACAAACAATTTGACAGAGTTTGAAGAATTTTGCAAAGAATAATGAGCAACTGTTGCACAATCCTGGTGTGGAACGTTCTAGAGACTCACCCAGAAAGACTCTCAGCTGTAACTCCGACAAAGATGATTCAAACATGTATTGACTCATGGGGTTTAATACTTATCTAAAATTTTTACAAATGTTAGAATTTTTCTTCCACTTTGACAGAGTATTTTGTGTAGATCGTTGACAAATTACAATTAAATCCATTTTTATCTCACTTTGTAACAATTTGGAAAAAGTGAAGGGGTGTGAATACTTTCTGAAGGCACTTTAAAGATATATATATATATATACACATATACATACACACACAAATGTTGGAATCACTTTATGTGAAGACTAAAGGGTGTGCAACTTGGCTCCTTATGTAAGGGATAAACGCCAACATTCTGTACATTAACTTGGAAATAATGGACGACGCAGCGTCATTTTCTCAAAGTAATGTACAGACGGAGGCATTTATCCCGCTTATACCACAGTTGCCAAAGAAAACAATATGAAAGCACACATTTAACGGTAGGAACACGTATTTCCGCTGATATTTTCATTTTTATAAGCAAATACATACTTTCTCATTTTCTGGCATATTATTGTGTCATGATTGCAAGGTGTCCCGATATCTGGTTTTAATGTCCATTATAGAATGCCCTTCCAGCCAATCAGAAATGACTATTCAACAATGCTGTGGTATAAATAAGGAATAATGGACAGTTGAGATCATGTTGCTAGGTCACGTGGTTGAAGAGCTATAGAAATTGTTACGTTTCAAATATTTATATAGAATTGTGTAAGTGCTTTATGGGAAAACCAAAGTGTACGATGTGTTTCCCTACCCTGTGAACAATCCAAAGTTGGTTTGAGGTGCCTAGGTCATATGATCAAGGAGCTATTGAAATTAGTCAAAAACGATACTAACAAATTAAGGTAAAAGAAATCCATACATTTTTTCAGGAAACCAAAAGGGTGTGTGATGTGTCCCTACCATTTCAACATTTTAAAGTTTGTTTTGTCTGTCAGTCACATGGTTAAGGAGCTATTGCATTTTAAATATAAGAAACATTTAAAAATCATTTTATGAAAAAAAAAGGGTGTGCAACATACTGAGGTTGCTAAGTCACATGGTTGAAGAGCTGACATTTTTTAAGTTTCAATTATTTATAATTTTGTAAGTACTTTATGGTAAAACGAAAAGGTGTGCAGCATGTGTCCCTTCCTTCTGAACAGTTTAAAGTTTGTTTGAATTTTCTCGGTGATGTGGTCAAAGTTATTTAACATTTGAATGTTGTAATCATGCACTTTGTTGACGGTACCTAACTAGCTGCATTAGACTGTGGGCTAGGCTGCCTACTCCATTGCCGTGTGATTATGAACATCAAGTCGGAGTCTGGAAAATAAGACCTGTGCAATGTTGTACACCATTTTTCCGAAACGGAATACTGTACTTCCAATCGTTCGCGAGCTATTGAAGTTTGAAGCTCCGAATGTCTGGCTAATATCGAAACTCAAACCAACTACCAACCAAACCAACTACCAACCAAACCAACTACCAACCAAACCAACTACCAACCAAACCAACTACCAAGGTTCTAGACCGTCTGTTGTACGTGATTGTTGTCCCACAATGTTCTTCAACCATAGATATAGAAGGGTTCAAACTGTCCAAGACAACACCGACATGCAATACTCACATATGGGCGTGCCAATGGCATTGTAGGATCTGATGAAGTTCATGTTAAAAGGTTTTAAATAAGATGCGACGTTATTATGCCATGAAAGCGTAACAAAAATGTTCGTCGACTGTTCCCTTCAGCTGTTGAAAGTCACGCAGCACAATATACGTACGATCCAAAATATATATCTGCGACCCGTCACTAGTTACCACAACCACAAAGTCACAATTACGTCTAAACGTCGCTTATTTCTACAATGTATCGCCTTAAAATCTGATGTGAAACCTAACCACACTGCTAAAAGTATGCCTAACCTAGACATAAAAGCTAATTTTAGTTTTCATAAATTTTTACGATATAGCCCATTTCTACTTTGTGGCTGTGGTAATTAGTGACATACGCGTTGCAGGGAAGTAAGAAGGACCCTACATGAGCGCAGGGTGCCTTACTATCGCCTGCTCAATAAATCATGTTACACAAAGTTATTTATTACAGAAATGTTATTTTAAAAAATTCAGTGTCTATTCAGTGTCTTTGATGGTACTTCAGACAGAGCTCACTCCGGTAAATCAGTACCTGTACTGTACATTGTCATGGGACATGAATGAGGCTTTTGTTGGTGGAACCATAAGGAGAGGAAGTACAAACCAACGACGCTAGACAGAGAGGAATATGTTTAAGCAAAAGGCAGTTTATTAAACAACAGAGATAGCTGGTACTGCTCAAGCTACATGCATGGACCCATTTCAGTTGCCTCTTATGGAGACAGTTGAAAAGGGATAAAAAACAGAGTTTACAGCATTACTTTATACAATGCAACACAAAGGAAGGGGTCCTTCTTCTAGTCCCTTGATTGGTTCCCGAGGCGTAGGAGGCGGGTCTGCTCTGTCCAGAGTAGAAGCCCCTTTGGTGCACGGCAGAGTCCTCTGCCCTTGGCACCCGACCAGTAGAAAGAAGTGCAGTTTGTGTGTGTGCGTAACTCGTGAGGCATGAGGATGAGTGTGCGTATGCATGGAGATGTGTGTGTGAATGTGTGTATGTTCTCAAAGGAAAGACTCGTGGGGAGCAACCAGATTGTGGCCTGTGGCGTGGGTGTTGTCCTTGAGAAGATATTGGCTCTGTCCATTGTTCTTGCATAGGAACAGCATTGATTGAAAACAAGCTCCTAACATTAAAATGGGTCATATTTACTACGACACTTTCACAATTAAATTCCATGTTTATTCGGCGAATCTTTGGTGCAAAAGTATGAACGGAAATCAACTTTATCATATCGTAATATTGAATGTTAATTATCAGTTTGTTATTTCAGTAAATATCGTTTTTATCATTTGGAAGCGCTTATTATAGGCGTCTAGTGAGTCTTTGTGTTTCTGTTGGTCAGAGGGAGAAGACGCTCAAAGTTAAACAAATGGGGGAAAGGTCTGTGAATTGCTCTCAAGAAAAGGGCACCATTGAATGGAGTGATTACTGGGGTAGCAATAAATGTAAAAGCTGACCAACTGAAGGGGAAGATTCCCGGTGTGTGATGCTCGTCGTTTGGTGCGACGCAGACAGGGTGGCGTGACGGGAGAAATAGAAGAGTCATTGTCTGTTGAAGTTGAGTCGTTGCCTGACAAAGTAAAGTTAGGATATATAAGTTATCCTGTTCGAGCTTATGTGCCGAAAACATTATGATGTTACAGGTGTCAAACTTATGGGCAAGTGGCAGCAGTGTGTAGGAGGGAGGTTCCTAGGTGTGAGAAGTGTGCAGAAGGGCATGAGACAAAATAATGTGTAGCATTGGGGAAAGTAGTGGTATGTGCTAATTGTAGGGGTGCCCATGGGGCTGGGGATCAGAAATGTCCCGTGCGAGAGAAGCAGGTTGAGGTTTCCAGGATTAGAGTAGTGAAGAAGTTGTCATATGCTGAGGCAGGGAAGAAAGTAGAGGAAGATGGGTCAAGGGGGGGGGGGGGGGGGGGGGGGGGGTAGTAGATCTGTACCAGTACAGAGGGATAAACCAACAAGTGATATATGTTTCAGTAAGATTGGGTTTTTAGCGTTTATAGCAATGGTTATACTGCAGGGATGGAACGTAAGTCTAAGAAAATTGAGGTAGTGGTGGCAGCTGCAGAGAGGTATTTGGGTGTGCGAGACTTGACATCAGAAGAGTTACAGGGAGTGTTAATCAGCTTGAGGGCATGAGGTAGGAATGAATATATTTAAATAGTGGAGTAGGGTGGTGTTAATTATTAATAATATTTTTGAATTTGTAAGTGTAGTGTTAGATGGTAGGGTATTTCTTTATTTTATTTTTCAAGCAAAATATAAGGGAGTTGTACTCCAGTCTAGTAGGGGGCGGTAATGCACCAAATTGGATGCCAACCGCCGTTAAACCTCATCGAATAAGAATAATTATTTTCAGGCATTCTGGCTGGGCACATATTTCTTGTGTTGAGCATGGAGGACCCGTGGGAGGACCTTATAAACCACTATGGCGGCGCCCGACGGAACTTTAAACTGTGAGGACTTTTCAATGTTTCAGGTAATACTGGCGTCAGCTTTTTGTATTCAATGAAGAGCATTTTAGTATGACATTCACGACAACCGATAAACACTGATAATTGTCAAGCTCTGTGTCGTGATCGGATTGAATGAATGACCCCTGCTGGTATGGACCTAGCTCTCAAAGTTGTAGAACCCTGTATTATCGGCATATTCAACAGTGTTTAAGAAATATATTATCTTCAACAGTGTTATCCTGTGATCAAGCCGTCAATGTTATGTGATTATTGGTGTCGTAAAAATGTTAGCTAACCGTTTAGCAATTAGCATGTTTGACATTTCAGTGGATATACTACTATTATCAGCTTTTTGAGAAGCGGTTTAGCAAAAAATATACATCCCGTATAAGTATATGGTCCCAATTTTATTGAAAACCTTACAATTTTGTTCAATTACAAGATAACGTTGTCCGTTTAATTCTGTAAAAAAAAAGAGACACCGACCTCTTCTCCGAAGTGTTTACTATAATATAATAATATAATATGCCATTTAGCAGACGCGTTTATCCAAAGCGACTTACAGTCATGTGCGCATACATTTTTACGTATGGGTGGTCCTGGGGATCGAACCCACTACCCTTGGCGTTACAAGCGCCGTGCTCTACCAGCTGAGCTACAGAGGACCACAACATTTAGCAGACACTTTACTTACCGTCATCCGTGCTTACATTTTACGTGGGCGGCCTCGGGGTCCGAACCCACTACCATGGCGCTACAAACGCCATGCTCTACCCCACTGAGCCACATAGGACTACGTCTACTATACTGAATAAAAATATAGACGCAACAATTTAAAGATTTTACTGAGTTACAGTTCATATGAGGAAATCAGTCAATTGAAATAAATTCATTAGGCCCTAATCTATGGATTTCACATGACTGGGCAGGAGTGCATCCATGGGTGGCCTGGGAGGGCATATCGCTATTTCCAGTTGTCTTAGCTCTCTCTAATAACACCTGTGACTGCTTTATGCCTCTCTCCCATGTCAATGATGCCTTGCCTATTGCTGTTTGGGTTAGTTCTTATTATACAATTTCACTGTAGAACCCCTAGTCCCTCTCAAACTGCCTCAAATAGTTCCTTTGTTCCACCCCCCATACACGCCGAGACCGGCTCAATCGATGCCTCCAATGACGCTATCTCTTTCATTGTTACCCAACGCTTAGGGTTACCTGAACTGTACTCATATCCTTCCATATCCTTTTCTGTACATAATGCCCTGAATCTTTTCTACAACGCCCGGAGAACTGCCCCCTTTATTCTATGTACCCAACGCACTAGAAGACCAGTTCTTAAAGCCTTTAGTCGTATCCTTATTCTAGTCCTCCTCTGTTCCTCTGGTGATGTAGAGGCTAACCCAGGCCCTGCAGCCCCCAGTATCACTCCTACTCCCCAGGAGCTATCATTTGTTGACTTCTGTAACCGTAAAAGTCTTGGTTTTCTGCACGTAAATATCAGAAGCCTCCTTCCTAAGTTTGAGTTATTCACTGCGTTAGCACACTCCGCCAACCCTGATGTTCTAGCAGTGTCTGAATCCTGGCTTAGGAAGGCCACCAAAAATTCTGAAATTTCCATCCCCAACTATAGAGCTCTATCATACTATCCAGGTCTGTGCCCAAACAGTTTGAGCTTCTACTTCTAAAAATCCACCTTTCCAGAAATAAGTCTCTCACTGTTGCCGCTTGCTACAGACCCCCCTCAGCCCCCAGCTGTGCCCTGGACACCATATGTGAATTGATTGCCCCCCATCTATCCTCAGAGTTCGTACTGCTTGGTGACCTAAATTGGGATATGCTTAACACCCCGGCCATCCTACAATCTAAACTAGATGCCCTCAATCTCACACAAATTATCAACGAACCTACCAGGTACAACCCTAAATCCGTAAACATGGGTACCCTCATAGATATCATCCTGACTAACTTACCCTCTAAATACACCTCCGCTGTCTTCAACCAGGATCTCAGCGATCACTGCCTTATTGCCTGCGTCCGTAACGGGTCCGCGGTCAAACGACCACCCCTCATCACTGTCAAACGCTCCCAAAAACACTTCAGCGAGCAGGCCTTCCTAATTGACCTGGCCCAGGTATCCTGGATGGATATAGATCTCATTCCGTCAGTAGAGGATGCCTGGTTGTTCTTTAAAAGTAATTTCCTCTCAATCTTAAATAAACATGCCCCATTCAAAAAATACAGAACTAAGAACAGATATAGCCCCTGGTTCTCCTCAGACTTGACTGCCCTTGACCAGCACAAAAACATCCTGTGGCGTACTGCATTAGCATCAAATAGCCCCCGCGATATGCAACTTTTCAGGGAAGTTAGGAACCAATATACACAAGCAGTTAGGAAAGCAAAGGCTAACTTTTTCAAACAGAAATTTGCATCCTGTAGCACTAACTCCAAAAAGTTTTGGGACACTGTAAAGTCCATGGAAAATAAGAGCACTTCCTCCCAGCTGCCCACTGCACTGAGGCTAGGAAACACTATCACCACCGATAAATCTACAATAATCGAGAATTTCAACAAGCATTTTGCTACGGCTGGCCATGCTTTCCACCTGGCTACCACTACCCCGGCCACCAGCTCTGCACCCTCCGCTGCAACTTGCCCATGCCCCCCCCGCTTCTCCTTCACACAAATCCAGACAGCTGATGTTCTGAAAGAGCTGCAAAATCTGGACCCCTACAAATCATCTGGGCTAGACAATCTGGAACCTTTCTTTCTAAAACTAGCCGCCGAAATTGTCGCAACCCCTATTACTAGCCTGTTCAACCTCTCTTTCGTAACGTCTGAGATCCCCAGAGATTGGAAAGCTGCCGCGGTCATCCCCCTCTTCAAAGGGGGTGACACTCTAGATC